ACATTCTACCAGGGTTACAACATCAATGAGAAATGGCTCACGACGAATGCTTGCAATGATATTCAAAATGTTGTTTCATCTGTTATGATACTAATAGATTCATTAGCAAGCTTGGCTTTCAGAGCAGCAAAGTGACAAACAAATAATTTTGGAAGATGAAGTTCCCTAATACAATTGACACTTGGAATAGCTCCACCTTCCTTACAATGTTTTAATAAGAATGGTCTCATTTTATCAATTTTGTGAAGGAGAATGTCAGATAAAGTGCACATTTTTTAAAAAAAAATCAAGAATAAAATCATCTCATACCTCTTTACTCTTGAACAATGTTGTTACTGTCTTCTGTTTCACCTGAGATGATCATTTTGAAGATTTTTTTTCTCATGAATTTTTGACTTAATATGGTCTTTGATTATGTCAACCCTAAAAATATCAACACTATGGAGACAAAATTTGCAAAATAGCATATTATCTTCTGCATAAAACTCATCAGGAAATTGTTCAACTCTGGCTTTAGCACATATTTTAGATACTGGAGTCATTTTTTTTTCTTTTTAGAGGAGCAGGTGCAATTTTTGAACTTGAGGGTGATTCACTAAATTCAGCCATTTTGGCAAATTAATTGTATTAGAAAACAAAATATGAAAAAATCAGGAAGGATTGCAGTGTAACTGTCAGCTTTACTGTAGTCAGATGTTGAAAGAAGAAAACTTTTCTATATTTACAAATTGTATGAGAGAAATGTAGCATTTCATAAAATAACAAGTTATGAAATTAAACCAAAGAAATAGATTTTAAAAATATATTGCTTTGATCTTTCCTCTCTTCCTTCTTTGTTTTTTAGGTTCAAACTATTGTCTATAATTCCCATTTCCACTTTATCAATGAGACCAGGTCTCACTGGGTTGGGGGGTGGACGCTGTAACCAACTGACTTTTATCTGCTTCGCTACATAAAGTTGTTTTGTTTTTTGTTGTTTTTTTTAATATTCAAAAATAAGATAAAATTTTCTAGGAAAATCTACTTTGTTCGAGTGCAGAATTTTAAAATTCTTTTCTAGGTCTTAAGAGGAAAAATAACTATAAATATTTATAAAGAATAAATTTAAAGGAAATAACGTTACATTGTTTTATTTATTAAAATATTGAAGAAAACCTAAGAGACAGTTTTCAAGTATTATTTTTATATTTGAAAAAAAAAAAGAAAGAATTAATTTATGATGGAAAATGATTGCATGAAAAAATACGAGATTCCGTTTCAGATTAACGATTCGGTGATCGCGGAAAATTGGTGTCCCTATGTAAGAGCAGTAATTGGTAGATGAAAGGTCTAGTGAATAGAAGTATTAGATCTTGCATTATCCTGCAGCAGAACAAGACACCACCACCACCACTGCTGGCCATAATCTTTGCAACTTTTGAAACATCAGTTCCAAATTCAGACAACAGGACTGCCATTTTGGTCTGACCAGGTTGTAAGAGGCTATAATGGATTACTCTCACAGTACCACGAAATGTTTTGGAGCATCTTTTGTAGGAGAAAATTTGGTTTTGGAAAGGTTTAGGAGGGAGCAAGTTTGTTAACTCAAAGGAACTCACAAGTATGAACAAGCAAATTCCAGCAAGTGCCAAACATCATGAGCTGCTCAAATCATGGAGTATCCACTTCTGCATTTTTCATTTTGTCATTTTGTGTCAGATGCCTTCTGACTTTCTAGGTGAACAGCCAAAGCTGTCCTCAATTTTTCTTTGTTGAATGATGACTAGTAATCAAGGTCAGGCTCATTTTAGTGATCAAATCACCAGAAGCAAACATTGGGAATCAACAAGATAGAATACTTTCTAAAGCTGACACCAGTCTCCAAGCACTATTGATTTTATCAGTAGCTTTAGTAGCACAATGAAAGATTAAACATGATTTTCATGTCACCATGTTCCATTATGCTGATAAACCTACCCATAATATGGATAGGTTTCTCTTCATATGTTTAATGCACTATAGAAACTTTTCAACTGCTTATTCTCTATATATGAATTTAATAATTGCTACATAATTACATATGTAATCATTAGTGAATAAATGTTTTGATGTATAATAAATCATACGCATAATATCCCGGATTACTAACCAATTTTAAATACAAACTGGACTCCTGGATACTTCAAGGGTATTGACAGCTAAAATCAACTATTATCACATACCTCTGCATCTTACCTGTATCTTCTCATTCTCTTCCTTATCCCTTCAAATCTTTGTTGCCAGTCTATTTTTTTTTTATCTAAATGTTACACAAACACATGCAAAAAAGAATAAGATATGAATAAATATTTTCTACTGCATCCTCCCTCTTATCTTTCTTTTGCTCAAAAAGAATTTTAATCTATTGCATTTTTACACCTTCTCCATCTTTCACTCATTGTCTCTTGATATCCGATCAACAAACCTCTTTGTTTTCTATCATATAATGTGTGCATATGACATTGATTAATTGGTTGATAATTGATAATTTAATTACAATCAATAAAGACTGAAAACAAAGTTAAAAGAAAAAAAAAAAACTATCAGAATATTATTTAGATTTATTCTGACTAAGATAACTTATGATTCATAAGCCATGAATGAAATTTGTGATGTAATAAATTAGGATGGCCAAGCATGAAAACTTATTTGGAGCAGTGAAGCTAATGACCGATTAATCAGCACATGGTAATATGGTCAATTACCAATTGTCATCAATTAATTGGTGCAACCTTAATATCTATTTCCTTTTGTATAGTTTTCCTCTAGCTTTCTTTCTTCCTACATTTTCCTCCTTCACATTCTCTCCTACCCACATTTTTCCTCCTGCTTAATATTATGTATGTTTCTTGGTCAGAAAGCCTTAGGATTATGCAGATACTACACTGATCCAAAGTACAAAAGCACGAGTCATATATGCAAACAAGCAGAATGGTAAAGATTTTCTCTTTCTGTTGCTTAATTTATCTTTTGATCATATCAGTTTGTGAGATTTAAAACATATTTATATAATCAAAATTGTTTACCAAAACTGAATAAACTATTTTGATGTTTACAAATCTTGTCTGTAAGTGAGATTTTTATCCATAAAGCTTTTCTAAATGAAAAGAATATATTTTCCTACTCTATGAGTATTCTTTGTAAATAAAAACTGATGATTTTAAGGACTAGTATTTTGATAAAAACAATTTGTTTAACATAGACATTCATACATATTTTCAATTCAGGAAAAGACAGGGAAAGAAAAAAAAATAATTATGAAGTTTCTAAACCAATGAAAAAGGGTATCAAATAATTTTTGATATTTAATGATTTGGTCAGATGGTCATGAATTAGCCAGTCTAAGAACTCCCATGTATATACAGAAATAATGAGAAGTTGGTAGGAAAAAAAATGCATTAAAAAGGAAATATTTTTGTTATTATTCTTTAAAAAAAAAAAAAATTTAAAGAAATGAAGCCATATTTAATACATTAGGCCTGTGCAAAAATTTCCAGCAAAATCTAATTGTCAATCGTATATTATAGTTTTCAAAAAAGAGTACTGGGCCCTTTTGCACATACTTAATACAAAAAAAAAAAAAAAAAAAGCTTTAAACACAAAGCTTATCTAAGAGAATCAGAGATATTAATAATCTAAATCTTGTAATGTAAGTACAAGTCAATGAAGAAGACAATCATAAAAATGAAAGAAATGTAAGGGAGGAAGCTCTTCATCTGCTACCAATCTGAAAAGGAACCCCATCCCCCAATCATCTGTAAAGCAGATCATATGGCCAACAATAATATCAAGAGACACTTGCTAACTAGTCAGAATGGTAACAAGTTCCAGTGCATTGTTATTTGTCAATCATTTGAAGAAAAGAAAGATATTACAACTCTAAAGGCAATGGAATTAGGATATCTGATGTAAGTCAACTTGATTGAATTTATCTCTGGTTTTTGTGATCAATGAAGAATACTCAATGTTATTGAGAGTAGGAAGCATATAAAAAGCAACAATTATAAAATGACAAAAATCTTCCCGTTGAATCAAATTGGAAGCTTATTAAGAGAAAGTTGTTTTAGAAGATATGTTGGAAACTGAATAATTTGAGAAACAAAGACTATGCTTTGGTATTAAATAGCTCCTCTTTTGAAAAGGTTTTTCCATATTTTGAGTCATGTTACAAAGAAGGTGCTATGCTAAACAGATTCTTTGAGATTATTTATCCCTTGACTTCCTAAAAGACTACTGGTTAGTGTGTATAAAATATCTACTTATTTTATTGCTATTATTGCAGCAGCACATAAAATTTAGTAATTTTTAGACTTCATACAATATACTTGTAAAAACATTGTTAATCTATTTTAGGTTACATTTTAAAACTATGTTTGAAAATTTCATAGAATTCTTTCTTTGAAATCCATTTAAAAAAAAAAATGATGTTCCTAAAAGACAGCTTGATTAAAAGTTAGAAAATTATGAAGCTTAGAACCAAAAAAATCAGTTATTCTTTTTTATTCAGAAAATTTTTTTTCAACATTAGAAAGTAAACATAAATGCTAAAATATCTTTATTATTTATTGATAAATAAATAATATTTAGCAATAAATAGGCCAGTCAAAACTGCAAAATAATGAATGAATTACTTCCCTTCCTCACTCAAAAAGCGTCAAAGTAAAACTGCTTTTACAAAGACAATAGAGATTATCTTTCTTTAAACTCAGTCATTTTCTGTAAGTAGTAACAATATTCAAAAATAAAAAGGGGTACATATGTATTTTAGAAGACTGTTTTCAATTGAAAAACCAGTTTCTGCACCATCCCCTGAATAGAAGCTGCTATGATTTTTTTAATCCTAACCAACAAAACTATCCATTTGACTTAAGCTCACAAACTTATTAACAGGAACTTTTTGATTTTATTGAAATGAATGGAAAAAATGTACAGGGTATCAACAATAAAATGATTGTTGGTCAGAAAAAACATGCAGCCCTTACCCAACTTTTTCTTTCATTAATAACAAGCTCACAAGGCAGAAAACTGAGTGGTATCGTAGATGTTGGTGCTTTAGGTTGAGCGGGTGAATATGTATCTTCATGCAGTAAGCGCTCACTCCCAAAATAATTGTAGCAGTTCCTAATTAGACTCTCCATGTCACTTGTCCAAGATGGCTGAAACAAATACAATGCAATAAATACAGAAATAAATACTTCATATGCCTAAACACACATGAATGCCTAAGTTAGTCTGCAAATCTGTAAGTCTATATGCATCTGAGCAAAGAAATACATTTTGCAGTTTTAACACCATTAATAGAAAATTTTTTTATAATAAAAAAACTAAAGTAACATGGCTTATTCACCAGAAGCATTCAAATAAATGGCTGACTGGTCTTCAAATTTAAAGCCAAAGTTTTTAAGAAAATGATTTTCACTTTTAGGTATGAACCTCAAAGACTTAAGATTCATGAACTCTGGCACGGCCATTTCTTTATTCAGTTTCTGCATTGTTTTGTTTTGCTTTTTAAATTATAAAGACACCCCACCCCTATGAAAAAATCTACAAAATTTACTGATGACTAAAAATCAAATCATTAATCCTTGTTGACAGATGAGACTGAGCATTCTCCTATTAGTCTAAAAACTGAAATAAAAATATTGGAAATTTTCATACTATTGCTGATTTGTGAAGATACACAAGAGCAAAAACTACACTAGTTGAGAATTGGCCAACAAAGTTACAGTAATGGCTCAAGAGAGAGGAAACCATAACTTATTGAAAAATACTTCTATCAATAAAACAAGTGGAAGTATAGTCACCAAACACTTTGCTCCAAGCCAATCAAACAGAGTCAATCAATAAGACTTTTGTGAAATATCAATATAGTTCTGACAAAATTTTTCAGGATCATTGGTTAAACTAATATGAATAGATCAAATTATTAAAGCATAATTCAAAAGAAGAAAAATAAACCATCCCTCTAATAGTAGTCTTCTAGTTGTAGTCTATTTTTAATGAACAAATATTTAATTGATAAAAAGTAAATAGACAATTTGATAAGCAATTTGAAAAGAAAGCAAATTGTAGTCATATTTAGAGAAATTAAATTATTTATAGTTGAAACTTTTCATTTTTATAGTGGAAATTGGTTTTATTTAAGAGGCTACATAAAAGATTTGTTGCTACTTGTATTAGTAACATGACCTATAAATTTAGATTAAATTAGTAATCTTTCAATTTTATAACTTTTAGTTTTAGATTTAACATTAGCATGATGTTTCTTCTTGAAAATGAATGCTCATTTCAAGATGAGCTCACTGCAATGTTAAACTCTTTGAAATTTTAATATATGTTGTACTGATGTATTAGGTTAAATTCTTTGAATTAGACCATTTAATACTAAAAGAAATCAAGAATAAAACTATTTCCTAATTTTCTCATCAATTCATCATATAATTATTATTGCAATTATTTAAAAGTCTTGATTTTCAAAGAAACTGATTTAAATTTTATCATGTATGAATAAAGGCTAATAGTAATTCATTAAATTTGTGCAATTAATCACTTAACTAGTGATGCTGATCAACAAATTTTTAAGAGCATCCAACAAAATTTCTTGAATTTTAAAATGAAAAGGGTTTAAGTTCATAATCCCAAAAGATATTTGCAAAGGTTGAAGATCAGAAAAATCAAAATAAGATAAAAATCCCCATAATATATTTCAGGAAAAAATAAAAAAAAACATCTTAAGAGACACTTATTTACACTTTTCAAAAGAGATTTATCAGATAATAACTCTTCTCTCTCCCACTCTCACCCCCCCCAGATGGTAAATGTGATTACAGAAATAATTATTGTGACATCACCTATAAGCTAACTATACAAGGTGTAAGAATTTAAATCCTGGAATGACTGCAGCTTGTCACTGAGATAATGAGTCAGGTAAACATTTGTACTTAAGCACATCTGGATATGTTCCAATTTCTGCTTCCTTGAACATAGACTAGATGAGCTATTCATTTCTTAGAAATAACAGGAGTTGTAACTGTTTCTGTTATATTGCATTGAAAACACTAGGTTTCTTCACTTTCAAACATCACTGCATTATTCAAAAGATCAGATGAAATGTGAAGCCTATGTTGTTTTTGATCATAAGATATAAAGCACTATCATTTAGGAATTTTTTCTCATTCTCAAATCCTCTGTTAGAATCTGTTACCACTGTTAATCTTTGATCCAAACACACCAAGGTTTGCACTGTCCATATTTGCATGTTCTTTATATTTTTGATTGCCTACAACTTTCACAACAGTGCACATCTTACCATTCATTGGGCTGCTTGTGCCACTAAAAACATTCAATTTCTTCATAGCATATTCATAATAAGTCATTTTTAATGGGACTAATATTTCCCTAATAACCATGCATATTTAGGAAACTGTCAATTTTCATCCTTTTTCATTTGCTTCAAACTTAATGTATAACCAACTAATTTGAATAAAAATTGTATGAAAATAGAGTTTATTTTTTTATTTTTTCAATTTATTTAACTGTGCAGTCATCTGAAACACAACTCTTAAGCATCACAAGCTATAATGTAACTGCCACTATGTGCTGAACCAGGTTTCATGGATGTTAGAAAAATGAGTGTTTTCACCATTTGCTGGCTCACAAGATGCTGTACATAGGTTACTTTTAGTTCTTCTGAAAATATGAAGAACTAGCTTTCCAATGATACTAAAAAGCATGGGTGAAATTGTTTTACATCATTTTTATTTGTCAAAACCATAATTTAACCCTCAATTCAAACACTTTGTACCCCAAGAAATACTATATCTTTTGGAAAGTTCAATCAATTTTTATTTGAATAGTATAGAAAACTAAGTACTTCCTCCAAGAGGGAAGCAGTGACAAACATTAGAACAGTTCAACGAACTTACTTCTGAGATATTAAACAGCCAAAATGACATTAACTCTAAGTCATGATAGTGTGGCCTCTAATTTACATCAATTTCATGATGTTCTTGGTAAAGATTTGTGTAATTCTTCAACAAATTTGCTTTTTAATGTTTAGTACTTGTGTTCATGATAATATTTGGTCAGATAAAAGCACACATGGATTAAATTGTGGCTCATTGTATGGCAGTGTTGCACCAGCCAAGTTTGTCATGTCTTGGTTTCACTGACTGGTCAGAGTTTGAATTAAATATTTTTTTCAAAAGTGGAGGCTTCAAACAAACCTATGTGTTAAGTAAATGACTATTAAGTGTATAATTATTTTCAACTTACTGGGCAAAGTCTGCATATTTTAAAAACATTTTTAAGTAAAAATGGAAGGGAGGTAATTTGAGAAACTATTCTTATAAGATCTACCAACTTCAACTAGTGGATTTTCAATATATTTGATATTTACATTCTTAAATTTTTCTTATTCCTGAATCTTTTGGGGGATCTAAATTTTTCTCTTTTCAAGTGAAAAAGTGCATCCATGTACCACCACATTACTATCAATATACTGAAGAGAAATAAGTTCATTTTAATATAGTTTTTTAAAAAAGACCAATGAGAAACAAGCATGACCAACAGATAAATTGATTTGTCTGCAACTAAGACATCAGAAGAGAACAAAACTGGTTGAGAACTAAACTCTTTGCCTTTTTCAGACAATTTATTAAGATGCAAAGCATTTTCATGCTTTTACCTAAAATTCCTCCCATATGCAATTCTGCATTTTTCTATTTTCTGGATAGTTGTGTTATATTTTTGGAAAAGCAAAGTAATATTTAATGTTTATTTACACATTAAACTGAAGATAGTTGTATATTCAATATGTGACTCAAATTTCAAATACATGCATAAGGTGAAAAGATACACCCATTTTTGCTTTGCTTGTACCCATGCAAATCAACATATATCATTTTGGAAAATCTCCAACTTTGTGACTATGGAATTGGCATGCATTGTCTAATGAACTAAGAACACACACAGTAGTCTCTTGAGGGAATTAATTTCAGGCTGGCCAAAGTTCGAGATATGATGTTATGTTCTGCCAAAATTAACACTGTCTAAAACTGTCATGGTAATTTGTTATCTTGTGATTTTCAGCCTTATGTTATTCATAAACTACGTATCAGAACCATTTCATATTGCAAATCTTGTGGTTATACTAAAGCAGCCAAATCTGTGTACTTATTTTGTGATGACCATATATGTTTAAACATGGCTGTCTAGATGGTTAATTTCTAAGCGTAGCTTAGATGTGGCACAAGGCCGAAAGTATAGAGCACCTAGTAAGGATTAAATTCACTTTTCAGTCATAACTGATCTAGGAAGACAAGCTTGCTAACCATTACACCACACCGAGGTGCCCAGGCTGTCTAGATGTTACTGCTTAAATTGACAATATCAAGCTTTTAACACCTATATCAAAATAATTATCTTTGCATTCTGCTTAGAATGTTAAAATCTTTGGAAGTATATAATATTTTATGGTGAATTTTAGCTGCCATTACCTACTTTTATCAATCTTCACATAAAACTTGATGTTAATCCACTTCTCCATCTTCCCATAACTCATTTTCCACCAATAGTATAACATGAACACATACAACTTCCTCTACTGCTCAGTAACAAATGTCTTATATAGTTTGCACCTTAAGAAAACAAGTTGGAACATGTCCAATCATGCTTAGGCATAAATGTTTACCATATTGAACTTGCAACACAGTGTGGTTGTTCTAGGAATAAAATCATCATACCTCATATTTTGAAGTTTAACTCCTAAATGCATAATAGCCAAAGCCCCTTCCAATTACAATTCGGCTTTCTACCCCTCTTATTTAGCCTTTCTTCAATAGCAGTTGTGTAATATTCTGAATTTTAGTATTACAGTATTTTGTCTGGTCAGGATTGTGATTGGCACCAAAATAAAATAACTAAGCTCATTATGGAAGCTAACATTTCTAAGAATTATCCAGAGGAATGAAATATAAGATAACATAGTAAGATTGGTTCTTGTCTTCCTTAACTAGTAGAATAAAAGACTAATTTCTTGAGGGGAACAAGGGCAAGATTGTAATTCTGCCAAAAATTAAAAAAGTAATGAGATTTTATGCTGATCAAATCAAATGGTATCTGATTAAGAACAACAATTATCACAGATGAATAGTTTGAATTAAAATTTATATATAGGAATAGTTTTTTTTTTTTTTTAAAATTTATTACAGAAAATGAGAAACTTTCAGAAATAAATAACTTTGATGTAACAATTTATGTTAATTATTGACTTTGGGATTGTTCATCTTTAATAGTTAAGACAGTTTGTTGTCATATCAGAGATGTGAATAAGTTGGAGTTTCAAAACTATAATATTATCAGCAATAAAACAATCATATAAAAGATACTTTTGTGAACATACAAAAACATGCTTTTAAGGAATAATCAAAATGCTATATAACTATCAGAAACATTCTTTTCTAAAGAAAAAAGGTTTGAAAGCAACAAACTAATATTCTATTCACAAACATTTTGTTTTATGCATCGACGCAAAATACAGTTGAAATTTTACTAATAAAACTCTCTGAACCAAATTTAGTTTTCAGAGTAATTGACTAGACTGGGCAACAAAGATTTTTAATGGAGTAAAAATGTATGTTTTAGACCAAATATCAAACATGCCAATTGTGAATCCATACTCAGAATTATTCTAGTATATCATTGTGTGCATGCAGATAACTGGAAATGACAATATCTTAATTAAATTGGACAACAAAAAACTTTTTGTCTCTTATCCAGATAAATGATGTGGTACTAGCTTAACCCTTTGGAGATGGAGCCTCATTTGAGCTCTTTTTACACTTGGAACACAAACAAAAATCAATATAAAATCACAGAACATAGAAAACTATCATGCTATTGAAAAGCCTAGATGTGCAAAAAATGTGAGAAGCAATCTGACTGGCTGGTCTTCATACCAGCCAGTTAATCTTGAGGCTTGTATTATCAGACTGACAGAGTGGGCCAGTCATTTTCTGCATCGTTCAACTTTTTGGATGATTGATCAGCCCTGTTGTCTTCAAAGTATGAAAATCTCTACCCAGAACTGTCCTCACACATCAGGTTTTTTTGAGATATGAACATAGCATATTTATGTTCAAAGTAGATTATTATCCAATTCAGCTGGCAGCATGAGATTAATTCATGTTAGTTGCAAAGAACATTGTTGGATTTTGTAGAACTGTTGATTTAATAAATAACATGCTAACTGCATCAAAAGAATGGGAGTCTAGATATCTCTTAGAATGCACTTCTTACATTCTCATCTTAAATTCTTCCAATGGATCTAGGTGAATTAAGCAATGAATGTGATGTGAGGTTCCACCAGGACATATCGGAGATGGAATAGAAGTATAAATGTCAGTTCAGTACAATCATTATTTCCTACACGAAAACATCTATTTCAAAGTGATATTTAAAGAAATCATTATCTATTCAGTTATTTCTCACCTTCATTAACTTTTCCCTTGAATATATATGTACTGTATATGGTACTAATATGCTATCAATATCACATTTACCTTGAACATAAATACGTTATGAAAATAAATAAAATTGTAATGATATTGTAAGGGAACTGTGAGTATAGATTTTGAATCAGCATAATTGGTTTAGCCTCATATAGCATCAGTTGTATGATATAGCACACAAAATGTTTTTTTTTTTTGTTTTTTTTTAAACTGTTTTCAAGTGTTATTAAAGTTAATAATCACAACCAAATCAAAGAAACATTTACAAATTTTCAAAAGAGAAATACCCAGAAAAATATTTTGAATAGAAACAAAATTACTCTTACAAATCAGGAGTCATTTATTTTTCAATTAATAAAAATACACAGATAATACAAATTAAAAATGAAGTCATAAAAGTTAGTGATCATTTCAAATGCTGTTTCATTTTGAGTAATGTAATCTTCCTATAGATTTGAAATTCTGTTCCATATTTTGCATACAAAAAATAAAATTGTCATGTGAATTCCTTTATTTCTACAAGTTTTTTTTAAAGTATTACACATTACACACAAACATACAATATAAATTTTAAACAGAATTCTATACATTACAAAAAAAATTCATATACATTGAAATGGTCACACTCATATACATAGCTTATTTTTAAAAAATCAAATCAAAAGAAAAACAAGTTTTCTCAATATTCAACTGCAAGTAATAATGAGGAAAACACTAAATGAAATATGGCTGGAATCAAATATTGATGTGACTAAGGGTGGAAAGATTGGTAACTGCTTACGAACATCAGGTACTCTAAATGATTTATGGCTTTTGTGCCATTAACTAAAACATGCTGTGTTTTTGTTTGTTTTTTTTAAGATATTGTCAAAAGAATACATTTTAGTGAACCTGCAAATAAAAACTTAAGAGTAGTCAAGATAATGAGCTTTCTCTGCTTAGTATTTCAATTTGAATCAAAGGTCAACAAATTGATTACACTGCTTAATACAACACTTAACACAGATATATTGCCAGTACTTATCAGTTTCATACAAAATCCTTCATTGGCAAATTATTGGGTTTCAAAATTCTTATTTTAAATTATAACAGCATATGGCATGCAAACATACAGATTCTGCAGTGAACATTCATTGGTGATTTGAGTAAAATAAAGTTTAAATATTACATTGTTGTAACAAGATCAAAATAAAACAGTAGATAATAGTAAGAGTGCGGAAAGACAAGCAGTACTTCACAGCTGTGTGGAATGGGTCAAGTGGGAACCAAATAAAGTTAGATTGTAGCAATCATATGCAGTTTAATTAACTGCTTTCAATTCATAAAAAATGATATTTTATTTTCAAAATTATGGATAAAGATTGTCAACAGAAAGAGCACAAAACTTATATGGTTAGTTGATGCACATGGTGTGCCAAAGGTCACGACTTGTAATACTTGAGACAGTGATTTTCTGTTTGTTCAGGGGGATAAAAATTGATCATTTACTTTCTTGAAGTCTAAATGCATTTCTGAATAGCAACTTGGTTACAAAAGCAGTAAATAATAATAATAATAATAAAAAAAAAGTTAATCTCTCAAGACACTGACGACTTGCAAATGAGAAAAATGTTAGCCTACCGGTGTCATAGATTCAAGGGAAATGGTTGGAAGCTCTGTCATAATCATGGGATCTGGAGGATGGCTACCACCTGCAATTGCTTCAGGCATCTTGGAACAATTCTGGAAAGAAAAATTATTTGCTTGTTCAAATTCCAAACACAAAAGTTTTAAGAAAAATATTTTCCTCTACCATAAAACAACATTGCTGTAATAAAAAATAAAAATAAAATAAATTCTATTTTTAAATAGTTACCAAATAATGAAACATCTTCAATATTTTGCAATTTACTTGGATATGTTTATTTTGATCAGAGTTCAAAATCTATTTATCATCAATTTGCAAATAGTGAAAATTGCCAGTCTCTGCTAAACAAAAGTTCATTCTCTTAAAAACATACAATAGTCAATTAAATTCTGACTTGCAAGAAGCAAATTGTATTATTCATAAGCTTTTATCAGAAATATTTCATTAGTGAATCAATTTGAACATTTATGTGAAGCAGTAAACAAAAAAACATATTGCAAAATAGAGAATAATAAAGGTATTCCATGACATAAGCAAATTATAAATTAGCAATCCTTTTGCTTTTGAACAATTTTTTTTCTTTTTAATCTTAAACCTCAGAAATAAACTTAAAGTATGACAAAAAATATTTTACAGATATTTAGGTTTGGCTAATAAGACAATTATTATTTAAAGTCTTCTGAAAAAAAATCTGCAAATTAGTAAAATAAACATTGACTTACACGCATGTATAGAGTAAAATCATCAGAAATTTCAACAGCCACATCCTTTCACGTGTTTTGGAAAGAGAAACAAATACAAAATCTAAGATTTTTATTGCTCATTGATAGTTTTTGATGTGATGTACCTTTCTTTGATTTATTGCTTATAAAAAATGTAATTGTCAGCGTGTAATCATTTTAAATGGAGAAAAAAATAACACGGTGAATATATATATATTTTTTTAAAATCATTCCAAACAAGGCAGCAAGTTTGATAGAAACAAACATCCAGAGAAATCTGTCCTAATTGCTAATAAGGAGGAGGAGGAGGAGGAGTGAAATAAGCAGCCGGCCTACCTGTCCGTCTGTCCGTCCGTCCGTCAGCCTACTTTCTTTATGAAACACTGATACATAGTATCCAACAGTACGTAAATCAGAAGGGTAAACAGAAAGACTAAGAGGAGGAGAGGACAGAAGACTCATTGAGAATTTTGTTTGCTACTTCCTTAACCTCAGCAACTACCACTTCTTCACCTCCTTCCCCTTCTTTCTGTATGCCTTCTTAAATGGTTTTACAGGTAATCAAGAAAAACGGCAAAATCCAACTCACCACCGGCAAGAACACGGGAGGGAAAGCAACGCACGAGGAAGGAGAACTCGAAAAAAGAGCCATAGAGATACAAGGTAACTGCGTTGGCATTGAGGACAACAACACTACCACGGCCAACATCAGAAAACAAGGAACTGGTTAGCTCAGTCCATTTCTAATGAAAATTCATACAACAATTTATTTCAGTGAAGAGCGTCGCCATCATCACATGTGGTTCATCTTTGAAGCAAAGCAGTACCAATAATAAGCCATCATGAGAAGACCACCACGAGCAGCAGCAGCAGCGAAGATTGCACCAGCAGCAGCAGCAATGGTAGTAGTAGCAGTAGCAACCTCATTAGAATGTCGGAGAAAAGATAATATAACAGAAGGAGTGGGAGAAGGAGGAGATTGTTGAGGTGGAAGTAGAAGAAAGGGGAAAATAAAGATGAAGAAGGGAAGGGGTGGAGGAATAGGAAATCATATTTATAAAAGCAATACCTGAATACCAGTACACAGGACCTTGACAGATTTCTTATTTTTCTTTCAACAGTGATTTTTTTTTTCAGAACAGGTCAAGGGATGTCGATGTGCTGGTGGCTTCACACATTACTATATATAGCAGGAATAGGTTTCTTTGTTAACACAGCCTGATGGCCTCTGCAAGGTTTTAGCCCACCGACTAGGCACGAAGATAGGAGAGAAGGGACACACACACACACACACACACACACACATTACAATTGCTTGCCTGCCTCCTTGCCGGCTGGTTGGCTTACTTCATTGGTTGGTTGCATTCCACACATCCTTCTTCTTCCTCTTCGCCATAACAAAGAACAAGAGCAGAAAAGAAAAGACCCAAACACAAAAGGAGAACCCAAGTTGCAGCTCGCAATTTTATGCTAATGCAAAAATTGGGAATGAATTTAAACATCATGAGGGACAGTCATTTGGCCAGATTGGCATTAGCATAAGACAGGTCACTTGGCAATAATTTCATGACAGTAAAAAAGCCAAAATTGAAGGTGCAAATGTAAACAATTTTTGGAAACTTAAGAATGGATAAAAAGCCACGAAAGAGACATTGAACCAGATGAAGCAGTAGCAGTAGTAAGCAAGCACTGAATACAAATCACAAAAGATTGTTGTCCTCATCACTTTGGGCATAGGAGAAAACAATGGCAAAAAAGAAAGGAGTGCCCTCCCTTCATGTCTATTTTCTTTTTCTTCATTAAAACAATTCCGGAAGCCAGCAAATATTTTCCTTTTGTTGATTAAAAAACACTGGTAGCAAACTCAACCTTTCATGTCAACCAATAAAGATAAAAATCAAACCTATATCTAAACCACATGAATGCTAAAATGCTCTCAACTAATTACTTTGTAATGATATTTAGTAAAACAAACTAATCCAGGTAGAAAAGGGGGGAATCTTGCATAGGGAAATGTATTGTATCCCTAATTATTGAACAAGAGTTGGGGGACAATGGAGGAGATTAACATGAATGGAGATATTCATAGCATTCTTAATCTTTGTTTATAATTTACAACAGAAGAAATATATTTTATTATGGACTAATGTCTCAATCCTCAAATAAGCAACCATGTCTGTATGCTTCTCATTAAGAAAAAGTAAGGTTATGGCTTAGTTTCCTTTGGTTTTGATAATCAAAAGCAAAATAATCATACCCAACAGACTATCTAAATTTCACAGACAAAATAGAATGTCAACAATTATAAGATATGTACTTTAAAATAATTTGTACAATAAACAGAAACACAAAAGTCTGAATTTAATTTTTAAAGTGTTAGGTATTGGTGACATTACAGTTTATATTAAATTTAAATTCAGTTTTGATGACATTGCACTACAGTTTATAATAAATAAAATAAATTTAGTAGAAATATTTGCAATGATTAAATCTTCTTGTTTTTAATCTGAAAGAAAACTTCTTAGTCATGTGCAAAATTTTAGACAGATTTCACAAAACCAATGCTTTTTCATCAAAGTAATCAAGTATATACAAACATCATTAAAGTTACTATTGATATAATTAGTTAATTTCTTTCTCCAGATTACAATCAATTGTTTTAAGTAAACCTGATTGCATATTGTATAGAACACTTATTTTCATATCTAAAAATAAAGAAAAAGTATCTGCATATTTATTCAGTAGTGTTTTCTCTAGATTTACAAGAGAAAACAATCAAAGAGTATGAAACATATAGGTTATGTTTTTTAATCAAATGAAAGAAAGTTTAATTCTTATTTTGTGTGTGTGTGTGTGTGTGTGTAAATAAATAGAAATTTCATTGTGTGTGCAAGAGAGAGAGAGAGAGAATTTTTCCATTGCTTCCTAAGTTTCTAAAAATACATTATGAACCAACAGATAAAAAGTGACATTTAGGTACAGATTGGTAATTTTTCATTGGAACAGAGTAACCATGTGCCTAAAGTGTAATGCAGTCTGTCTAGAATTAGTATAGTACCTGTGTACTCTGTCTAACTTAATATTTGCTGTTAATTTCACTGTACTATACAAGCAGCAAAACCCTAGGGTAATGGCTATGTCACTTGGTTGCTTACCTCCAGGTCAGATGGTCAATTGGTAGGATTCTCTTGTTAATTTCATGTATGTTTGCTTTAACCTGACAGAAGTTGGATTGATGGACAGGGAAACTATCACATAGTTCATTATTATATATGATACAATTTATTAATTTAACAGAGACAAGATGGAGTGGAATAGAAGAAAAAGAAAATAGTTGCTTTTTTTATCATCCATTTGATGAATGTTTCTACTTTGCTACTGTTTCCTCAACAGCTTTCTACAAATTATTCTTTATAATACATTTCCTCATATTTCTAATACATTCATACTTATACACAGAAACTTAGAAAGGGAGTTAAAGAAGGAAAAGAAACTAGTTGTGTATCATCCATTTGATGACTTCTATTTTGGCAAATTTCTTCAACAGCTTTCTGCAAACTATTTTTCACCCAATAAAACAATGAAGGTGACCTACTGCAACTCTCTGTGTTTAGTGTGTCTATCAACATGCTTACATTATTGCTCTCCATCTACATGACTCTTTGCAAACATTCCAAGAGATTAAAGATTAAAATTCATTTGTTTGTATTCAATTAAAATTTGAATTATTGTTAGTATGTCATATGCATAGAGATAGAAATATTTTTAAAACAATGAAAACATTTTCATTGTTTATTGCAATGACATTCTTTTTAAATTTAATATAAAATATAAATAGCAAACAAACAAAAAAAATGGAAAGTTTTCAAAGCTTTTTAGCTTACTAAATATCAAAAGAAACATTTTTATTAGTTTTCCAATACAGTTCTAGAAGCAGCAAATTAATATTTTCACCAGGCCATTATATATATATATATATATATATATATATATATATATATATATATATATATATATATAATGATTAAAAAAAAAGTGACTTAAAAAATCATTAATATTTATCCTGGTATCTTTTTCTTACAATTTTTAGTTCAAGTTGAAGGTGGTTAATGTATTTTTCTGGCTTTGTGGGGTTTTTTTGGGGTTTTTTAACACTAATAACATTTGACTTGAACTAAGAATTGTAAAGAAAAGATACCAGAATAATTACTAACAACTATTCTTTAATCACAGGAAACAGCAGCTTAGAGAAAAGTACTAAAATTCAGTATTTAAGCATATACACAAGTACCTGGTAACTGATGAAGCCTTGAATGACAAAATGCATGATCAAATCTATTTTCATGAAACGTTTCCATTTGTCAATTTTAAAA